TCCCTGCCACCCCAGTGAGATCAGTTCCTGGAGCCATAGAGAACACAGCACTAGGCAAGTGCTCTACCAACCCAGCTGCACTCCAGCCCCCTCCCTTTTGTGAGTTTCTTGAGATAAAGTTTTGCTATGCAGTCCAGATTGGCCTCAAACTTGGGGTTCTCCTGCCTCGGTCTCCCAGTGCTGGGTCCATATACATGCACCACTATGTTTGACTTTCTGAATGCGCGCTCTCTCTCTCTCTCTCTCTCTCTCTCTCTCTCTCTCTCTCTCTGTGTGTGTGTGTGTGTGTGTGTGTGTGTGTGTGTTGTATGAAAGTATTTGCACATGGAAACCAGAAGTCAACTTCAGATGCTATTTCTCAGGAGCCACCACCTTGTTTGTCAAGACAGTGTCTCTCACTGAGATGGCATTTTGAAAAATACAAGGTGTCATTCAAATATAAAGTAATATTGCCATCACTCAGATCTATAGGTTTGTCTGTTTTCCAACACAAATGGATTGGAATGTGAGAGCATCTCTCATTTCCCTAGGAGCCCTCTGAAATGGACATGGTCTCTGTGCTCACTCTTGTGCCCACCAATCCTTGCTCTCTCCATCTCTCTACCCACCACGAGATACATGAACTATGATCTTACATTTTTTTATATTTTCATCCCAGAATGAATGTCTTAAAACAATAACATGTTTTCTTCTAGAGAGTTGTAGTGCAAATTGAACCCAGTCCATTTTAAGAATATACTCTCAGTCTCAATTTCCAAGAAGCAGAAACATGGCATTTATGGTTCTGAGAGTAAGACATATCTTCAAATTATGTCCTTGAGACCATGGGATATTTTGTACTGTTTGTTCTCAGAAATATCCATCAGAACTATGAATGGGATCAGCCAGAACTTGGCAGTTATTGTAGAGCATAACAGGGTTCCAACAAAGACCTGGGCTCTGCATCCAATGGTATCAGTTAGACTGGGTGTTGCCCTGTTGACCTTGCAGCATGACTTTGGCATTCCCAAATGTATTTGTCTGAATTCATAACCATCCTGGATCATGGGGTGGACATGCCTGGAACGTTTTGAAATCTGTCATAGAAATGCAAAAACATGATCTTATTTCTTCCTGAGGTTCTGGATAAAATGAAGGACAACAAAGAACAGGAAAGTCTGATATTCAAAGTAGCATAATAGGCCAAGTGATCTCTAACCTAACCTTGATGACTGTGTTAGCCACTTTTCTGTTGCTTGATAAAACACCCTACCAAGGCACCTAATGGAAGGGAGGGTTTACCGGTGCTGACAGCCACAGAAGGACAAGATCCACCATGAAGGAAAAACGCAGCAGTAAGGTGCAGGCAAGGCAGCAGGAGCAGGCATCTGAGATCACGTCTTTAAATGCAAGCGTGAAGCAGAGAGCAAACAGAAGCAGGAAAAGCCTACATGCTCTCAAAGCCTGCCCCAGTGGCTACTTCTTCCAGCAAGACTACACCACCTTAGCCTCCCCAAATATCCCCACATACTGGTAACCAGATAGTCAAACACCTGAGCCTATGAGGGACATTTCTCACTCAAGCCACTAAAATGATCCTTGATTATCCAGAGGTCACTGAGGAGAGCAAAGACTTAGTCAGCACCCTAGGTTGAGCTAGAACGTGCTTGCTCATGGTTTCTGCCCTTCGTCTAGATTTTGCTTTCCAATACAGGATGAGAGTGCTGCCTCCTTAGAGATATTTGAAGAGAGCAAGTTAACCACTGTGACCCTTCATTTATTAATTTTTCTTCTAACTACTTATTTATTTTGAGACAGGGCCCCACTGTGTAGCACTGGGTGGCCTGGAGATCAATCTGTACACTAGACTGATCTCAAACTCACAGACATTCACCTGCCTCTGCCTCTCCAGTACTGGGATTAAGGGCCAGTGCCACCATGTTGGGCTTGGTTAGTATGGACTGCCACAAGCTAGGCTGGCCTTGAACTCACTGTGTAGCCAGGCTACCTGTACATTTGTGATCCCCTTGAGCCTCCTGTGAGCCCTAGGAAGATGAATGCACCTCTAGCCCATACCTGGCTAAGGTTAGGTAACTTTTTTTGACAGGTACTCTCACTGTGTAGTCTGGGCTCACCTGCAATGTGTGATCATCCTGCCTCAGCTTCGGAGTGCTGGGGTTTGGTGTTAAGTTTTATATCTATTTCTCTCTTATTTCTCTATGAATACTTTCATTTGATTGTGTTTCCATTAAAAAAAATGTTTATACTGTATTCCTCATGTGGATGTGATCACTCTAGAATTCAAGGCCACCTTTACCTTCTAATTACTGGGGAGTGCCATCCCCCTTTACTTGGAGGTCAGAGGTCAATGTCAGTTGTCCTTTCCTTTAGCTCTACACCTTAATTTTTGAGGCAGGGTTTTGTTTTTGTTTTTTAACTAAACTTGGTGTTCACTGACCTGCCTATGCTGATAGCTGTCCAGCAAGCTCCAAATATTCTCATATTTCCACATATTCCGCACTAGGATAACATGCATGTGCCACAGGCCTAACTTTTTATTTGGGTGCTGAGAATCTGACTCCAGGTCTTCATCCTTGAGTAGTAGCAAGCACTTTATTGATTGGCCCCCACTGGTTGGTAGGCTTTTTAGTGGCTTTTAACAAAAAGGGAAGTTTTTAAAGTGTGCAGTGGTCAGGCGGTGATACAGGCCTTTAATTCCAGCACTCTGGCAGAAGCAGGCAGATCTGTGAGTTCGAGGCCAGCCTTGTCTACAAGAGCTAGTTCCAGGACAGGTTCCAAAGCTACAGAGAAACCCTGCCTAGAAAAACAAAATGAATGAATTAATAAATAAAGTGTGCATACAAAATTATTTCTGAATGCTGTTAAATACAAAGCAAAAGTTGGCATGGTGATTCACACCTGCAATCCCAGCTCTGGACAGGATAAGGCAGGAAGATTCCTTCTAGTTACAGGGCCAGCCTGGCCTACAAAATGAGACCATGCCTTTAAAAAGAAAAAATATAAAGTCTGGAGATATATCTCAGTTGATAAATTACTTGTCTAGCATGCAGGAGGCCCTAAACTTGTTCACCAGCACTTCATACACCAGGCATGGTATTGCATACCCTATAGTCCCAGTGCTTAGAAGGCAGAGCTAGAAGGATCACATTCAAGGCCATCTTCTGTCATAACCTGGGCTACTTGAGACCCTGTTTCAAAATAAATAAACAATCCCTTTCTTGAATAGAGAGAGAGAGAAAAGAAAGACTAGGTGCTTTGATTGTATGCTGATTGGTTTTGTTTTTAAAACTTACAAGGGAGGGAGATGACAAAAAATAAACTTGCAAAATAAAGCTAAACGTTTACTTTGGTACAAACCATCTCGGTGTATTTGCTCTCTAGGGCTAACATGAACATTGGACCCTTTTTGAGTGTTGATCAATATCAACAGCCACTATTATTTAGCTCCTAATCTTTAAAGCACAGTATTACTGGTAGGTGAGTCCAATCTGAGTACACTTCCATATGTTAATAGGACACAGAGCCTGGGCAGAACATAAATCTTGGCCAGCTGTTGCTGCATGACAGTAGCACTTAAGGAAAACACGCATTAGTCCCTGTGAGGAACGACTTTAATAAACAGGAAGCTGGAATGGTCTGTTTTCTACTGCAAATGTGAGGTTTGATTTTAGATTGTTTATTTTCATGTATTATGTGTAGGAGTGTTTTGCAGGCATGTACATCTGTGCACTGTGGGCATGCAGTGTCCTTGTAGACCTGAAGAAGGTTTCAGATCTTCAGGAACTAAAGTTACAATTGGTTGTGAGTTACTATGTGAGTGCTGGGAATTGAACTTGGGTCTTCTGAAAGAGCAGTCATTGCTCTTCACCACCAAGCTATCTTTTTTTTTTTTTTAATTTATTTATTTATTAAGGATTTCTGCCTCGTCCCCACAACCGCTTCCCATTTCCCTCCCCCTCCCCCGATCAAGTCCCCCTCCCCTCATCTCGAAGAGCAATCAGGGTTCCCTGACCTGTGGGAAGCCCAAGGACTGCCCACCTCTATCCAGGTCTCGTAAGGTGAGCATTCAAACTGCCTAGGCTCCCACAAAGCCAGTACGTGCAGTAGGATCAAAAACCCACTGCAATTGTTCTTGAATTCTCAGTATTCCTCATTGTCCGCTATGTTCAGCTAGTCCGGATTTATCCCATGCTTTTTCAGACCTAGGCCAGCTGGCCTTGGTGAGATCCCAATAGAACATCCCCATTGTCTTAGTGTGTGGGTGCACCCCTCGTGGTCCTGAGTTCCTTGCTCGTGCTCCGTCTCCTTCTGCTCCTGATTTGGACCTTGAGATTTCTGTCCGGTCCAAGCTATCTTTTGAACCCCAAATGTGAGCTATTTACTTGAGAAGAGGTTTTCCTATAAAGGTATCTTTTCTATAATAAACATGTGAAAGAATGCCTTGTCTAAATGGAGAGTGAGAATCCGTTATTTTGGATGACATGGTGGGACACAGACAAAGACTCTGATCCCAGAACTGGGGAAGTGGAAGCAGGAGAATCAGAAGCTTCAGGTCATCTGTAGTTACATAGCAAGCTTGAGGTCTGCCTGAACTACATAAGATTCAAGCTGGTGTTCACTGAGAATAAGACATAAAGACCGAGGCTAGAAAGATGGCTTAGCAGTTAAGAGCACTGGCTGTTCTTCCAGAAGACCTGAATTTAGTTTCCAGCACTCACATGGTTGCTCATAACCCTCTGTAACTGCAGTTCCAGGGCACCCATGCCCTTTTCTCCTTACCTTGGGCATGAGGCACACAAGTCATACACTGACAGATATGCAAGCAAAACACCCATACACAGAATATAAGTAAAAATGTAAAAAATGGCTTAGGAACTATATTTATTATCATATCTCTAGCAGTTAATACCATGATTATGAGTAGCAATGTAAGTAGCTCAGTGGCTAAGAATGCTTGCTGCATAAGCTTTAAAACCTGAATTTAAGTCCCCAATACTCACATAAGAAGCCAAATGTGATCATGTGCACACCAGATTAGCTCCCAGTTCAGTGGAAGTTCAGATAGAGTTCTTAGTCCACACACAGGCAAACACACACGGGGGGGGGGGGGGGGAGGAAAGAGGGAGGGAGAGAGAGAGAGGATGAGAACAATAAACAGAAACACACACAGAGAGAGAGAACAGAAAACAGAAACAGATTCTCCCTAGCAAGTTCAAAGCCAATCTTGGCTACATTGGCTCTTGTCTCAAAAACAAAACAAAACAAATAGAATGGGGGACCAGATATCTGGCTGTGACATGTATCACTCCATTGATCAGCAAGGTTACTCCAGCTGCTCTGGCTGGCTGTGCAGGTGTCCCTTCCTCTCCCTTCTGTGTCTTCCTCCCAAAGCTGTGTGCATGGTGGAAGAGACTGTTCTTTGGTGGAGGGTATCCACATAGCTGTGCTCCTCCGTGAGGACCTCTCAACAAGTACTCACAAAAGAGACTACAAAAGTATACAAAATAAAGAAGGGAAGAAAGGGAGAAGGATCAAGGGGAGTGAGGGAAGAAGTTTTAGAATGCCACATAAAGACCAAATATGGGCAGAGAAGTTCAAAATGAGTGTCTGGCCTCTTCATTCCATATGTAAGAAAGGTAAGCAACTCTCCAGGTTACAATACCTCAGCCAAGATCCAGAGTCATCATGACTTTGCCATTTGTTATTGTCATTTCCTTATGCAGCCCAGAGTTCCCTTGAACTCCAGATCCTGCTACCTCAACTGGCACTGGGCACTGGGATTATAAGACTCTACTGTCCTGCCCACTTTACAACCTGGGGATGTCCGGTAGCTGACTTTCTGGGTGTCATCACAGGTAGACCCTAGAACTGAGCATTCTAGCTCTGGATTAGTTACTTTATCATGGTCAAACTGGAGGGAGTGAGAGAAGGAAGAAGGCCGTTATGCTAGGGATCATGAAAAGTAGGCTGCCTTCAAAGCCACAGTAGGTAAAGGAAAGAGCTGGTCATGAGAGTGAGCCCCCTCTACTAGGGGTGAAGGACCCTCTGGTTGCAGGCCTGTTACTGTGCTATCCCAGAAAGTCGGCTGCCGGCCATCCACTAATCTGATTCCAGACTCCCTTCCCATTGTCTGGTGTGAGAAATTGCCAGGACAATTTCTGAGAAATTGTCTCAGAGTTTCTTTTGGGTCTTTGGCTACAGTAGCTCATTTTGTTTTGCTATAAGACATGCCTAAAACTGAGTATTTTATAACTACAGAGGTTTATTTGACTGAACCCTATCCAGCCTTCCTACTGGTGCTGTGCAGGTGTGTGAGGCCTACCTGGTTGGTCATCCATGCCAAACGGGTAACAGGTCAAAAGATATCCAATGGTACGTGGCCTACTGGAGGATGTGCTTTCCGAATCCACTGTGGGGACTGGGGAGACGAGATGGCTCAGCAGGTAAGGCTCTTGCTGTAATCCTAGCACTCAGAAGCAAGATGATCAGAAGTTCAATATCATCATTGGCTACATAATAAATTGGGTGCCAGCCAGGATATATGAAAAACCCTATCTAAAACATGAAGAAGGGGACAAGGTGTGGTGCTTTCTATCTATAATCCAGCACTCAGAAGGCTGAGGCAGGAAAATTGCTTCAAGTTCCTAGTTTGCCTCCCTACCCCCTCCACCCCAACTGTGCAGAGAGACCCTGTCTTTAAAAAAAAAAATAGTTTAATTCTATTTGAGAAGGTCAGGGTAGTGGACCCAACATGGTTGACTCTCAGTGGCTTTATAAGAGATTGAACGGACACATGCATAGTCTCTGCCTCTTGCCATGTGACACTGTTTGCCACCATCACAAAGGCAAAGTCCATTACCAGAGGCAGTCCTTGGACTTTGGATCATTTCCACAAGAGCAAATAAATCTCTTCTCCATAAAGTTACCCAACCACAGCATTGCATTGCAATCGCACAAACAAACTAATATGAGTGGCCTCCTTTTTCCCTTCCTTTCCCCGTGACTTCGGTTTAGAATATATTTCACCAAGACACACATACTTATGGGTGTACAAGAGAAACAAATGTTTGCTAAGGCCGTGCTTTTGTTCTGTATGTATTACACTATTCTCTTATGTGCTCCTCCTTTCCTATTATATCCTGGATTTTAAAACTCGTGAATTGATTTCACAACTGTAGAGGGTCATGAACTGTGGTTGAAAACAGTGTTTTGACAGATACTGCTATGTGACTCAGAAGTTTCTCCTCTCTTCCCCTTTACTGTTTCTTTTACCTGGGAGCTGTGCAGTATTACCTGCTAAAGTGATCGGTTACAACAAGGCTGGGTAACAGAGTGGGGAAAGTGAGAACCATCACTGACATTTCATTCAAGTCATACTGAGCATAGAAGAATCTCAGAAAGAGATGAACCAAAAGAAGAAAACACCATATGGTGTCCACCTGCGATTCCCGTTCCTGGGACACAAAGACAGGTGGATCAGATGTCCAAGGTCATCCTCAGATATATAATAAGCTACAGGAGAGCCCCATGGCCCTTTTAAAAAGGCAAAAAGCATGACTCATGATTATGTTGTATTCTTATTCTATTAGATACTTTCATCTCAATGACAAATGCCTGAGAAAACAGTTTAGGGAGATTTGTTCATGGTCAGTTGCCTGCATTGTTTTAGGTCTGAGATGAGGCAGAACAGTGTGGTGGGAAGGGTGTGGCAGAGCAGAGTTGCTCACCTCAAGGCAGCTGGGAAGCAGGCAGAGCAAGGAGGAGTGCCCAGGGACCCCTAGTTACCTCCTTCCTCCAGCTGGGCCTGCCTCCTAGTTTGCACTTTCCAACAATGCCATCAAATTGAAAAAGAATACTATCCAAAAAGGAAGGAGGAGTGCCTATAATCCCAGGACTGGGTGGCACACGCCTGTAATCCCAGCTCTGAGACACCAAGGTTCAAGGCCCACTTTGGGCTGTAGTAAGTTTCAGGCCAGTTTTGACAATTTAGTGAGATCCTGTCTCAAAAATAAAAAGTAAAAGAGTTCAGAGTGCTTGGTGCATTCTCTGGTATTTAACACACACACACACACACACACACACACACACACCTATTGTTTCAACAGGGGAGAAGTTGGTGACAGCAAGTACTGTGAGCTTCAGGACAATAGACGGGCTGGTGTGAGCAATATGGTGAGATCCAGGGCAGTCAGGGTTACAGAGTGAGATCCTACCTTAAAAAATAGTTTGCCAGGCAGTGGTGGTATCTTTAATCCCAGCACTCACACAGCTGGCTCTCTGAGGTCAAGGCCAGCCTGGTCTACAGAAAGCGACCTGGGACATCCAAGGCTACACAGAGAAATCTGGTATCGAAAAACCAAACTTATACATTAAAATGTTTTTAAAAGACATTTCCTTTTTTAAAAAAATAAATTTTAACTTGTGAACTTCTGTGGGAATAGGTATGTGACATGCAGTGTCTGCGGAGGCTAGAGGCATCGAATCTTCTGGAGCTGGAGTTACAGGCAGTTGTGAACCACCTGACATGAGTGCTGGGAATGGAACTCAGGTTTTTAGGAGGAGCAATGTTTGCTGTTAAGCACCATACCATCTTTCTAACCCACCCCTAAAATAAAAACTTAAAAAAAAAGAAATATTCACTTTGCTTCAAACTGCTGTCTAAAAATGATTATCAGTGTGCCCCTTTCCCCACTGTCCCAGAGGAACGCTGTGTTATCGCCTTTCACTTGCGTAGTTGATGAATACTCAGGCACTGGTCCCAGTTTAGGTTTAAACTTTGTTCTAAATGCTTGAGTAATGGCCAGATTCTGTTTCATTTTTCAAGCCACAGCCTTTTAGCCTGAATTGAGACTGTCACTCGACAACTGGGGCTTTCTGTGATGGCAGGGACTGAAGACTCAGCCCACATCTACTACTAAAGTCTCATTAAGGACTTCTAGGCCTGGGGGCCTTCTTGGACAGCATCTTGTTGTATCATATTTCCTCTGTTCCAGTAACAGCTGTTCCATTCTGGGGATGTGAGAGTACAACAAAGAGGACCACAGATGCTTGAGGACATTCTGAGCCGCTCGGCTCATTCAGGGGTCCCTCCATCTTTTGAAGACAGACCAGAGATCTTCGTGATATACATGAACTCCTCCCAAGTACTTATCCAAGGCTGAGGATCTAGCTCATTGGTAGAGCGTTGCCTAGGATGTATGAGGCCATAGGTAAAATCCCAATTACAGAAAAGCATTGAGGTCACATCTGGGGATATAGATCAGCTGGTGGGGTGTTTATCCAGTGTGTACAAAGCCCTCTGGCTTCAATCCCTAGCTCAAATACAAAGGCTCGAGACATGGTGGAGCCTTAATCCCAGCACTCAAGAATAACAGGCAGGCAGGGCAGAAATTCAAGGTCATTTTCTGATACACAGTAAATTTAAATCTAGCCTGGGCTACATGAGACCCGGCTATACACAAAACAAAATGAAAGGTGAGATATCTAGCTTTTGCCATATTTAAAGTTAAAATGGGGCTTGTAAAGATGGCTCAGCAGTTAAGAGAACTGGCTGTTCTTCCAGACGATCTGGGTTCAATTCCCAGCACCCACACAGTGTCTGTCTCACAGTGATCTTAACTCCAGTTTCAAAGGATCCGACACACTCTTCTGGCCTCTTCAGGCACCAGGCATGCATGTGGTGCACAGACATGCAAGCAAAACATGCGTATAAACAAAATAAAAAAATTAAACATAAATAAATAAGGTTATGGGGGGTTAAAGTGCGGCTCAGTGGTATAGTGCTTATACTGTAGAAGAAGCACAATTCAGTTTTCTATGGCAAAAATCAAAGATGAATTTAACATGTTTCAAGATATCTCATGCTCAGTTAGGCATGGTGGAACAACACAGTAATCCCAGCACTTGGGAGACTGATGCAGGAGGATTGCCATGAGTTTGGGTTTGATAGTAACTTGAGTTATACAGTAAGACCCTGTCTTAAAACAAAGTCAGGACCATGACTTTGACTTGTACTTGTGGTGTCAGAACCCTAGTACTTCTTTGTGCCATGTTCCA